TCTATGCCAGGATCTTCTTTCTCCTTTTTCAGAAATTGCGGTCAGCATTTTCTTAAGGGTTTATGCTTGCCTTTTTTGAATTTTTTAATTCGGTTTGATGGATCTTTTTTGAGGGGGCTAGGGTTTTGATTCGCGCAGTGAGGATTATGATTCGAATTTTGATTTGTTTCGCTTTCTGGTTTTGGGGGAAATGGAGTTTGTTTTCTCGGTGTAGTGATTTTGTATCTTGAGCTGATTTTTGTTTTTGTTTTTACCCTTTTGGATTTTGTTCTGTTTCAGATCTTCCGTTGTCGCTATTTTCTCTGCTGGTGGCTCAATCCGGCACCTCAACTGAGCGCTTGATTTCTCGTACGATTATTTCTGTGTTCTTATCGATAAGTCGGCGATTTAAAGGCTGTTTCTTTTGGAATCTACTCTGTCGCGGGGGCCCGATTCTGGTATATCGATTCTCTATCTTCTTTCGTGTTTTTTTTTTGTTCGATGGAAATTGATTGGTGTGGATTTAGGTCGAGGTTTTTAGAAATTCAATCGGTCTGCTTTTGTTTTAATTTTGATGTGCTAGGATCTGTATTTAGCAGGCTGCGGTTCGCTTTTTTCGCGTTGATCATGCTGTATTTGTTGCAATAATTGCGGACTTCTTTCGTAATTAATGAGGCGATTACTTGGAGTTTTGTTCTCTGAGTTGTCGAACTTTAAGAATTTATGATGAGTGATTATTCGAGGTTAGGGTAATTGTTTAATTTCACAATCGATTAATTACTTCGTTCATTAATTTCCTTCCAGATGGAGTAAGTTAGTATAATTGGACATTGAAATTATTGTTCTCGGAATCTCCTTTTATGGATCGGGGGGGATCTGTGGTTTTGGAACATTTAATGAAGGGTTAATTATTTACTTCAGTACTGACTAATAAAAGTTAATAGTAACTATACATTATTTCCCCCTCCATTGCTTTCAATCTTCATTTAATTTTCTTGGTGAAGTGTGAACTATCTCCGGTCCTTTCTATTCTTCTACTCAAATTTGATTCCGTTGAGCTAAAATTGTGCATCAGGACACTATAATAAATTTTCTTCTATTTGTTTAAGTCTTCACCGTCTCCCTTAATGTTTTATTGCTTTATCAACATTCCTAATTTGTTTGTAGGATCTTTATTTGACTGCAAATTAAGAGATGCGGCGTACGAAAAATGAGAGTGAAGACAATATACCTTCAAAAGATCAAATATTATCACCATTGGCAGATGAAGATAGTGGTGGGAATGCTAACGGTATTGTTCTTAAGAAAGGACCATGGACGTCTGCTGAAGATGCAATTTTGGTAGATTATGTAAAGAAACATGGGGAGGGGAATTGGAATGCTGTTCAGAAGCATTCTGGACTTTCTCGTTGTGGGAAGAGCTGCCGATTGCGATGGGCCAATCACCTCAGACCAAACTTGAAAAAAGGAGCATTCACTGCGGAGGAAGAGCAGCTGATAATTGAACTGCACGCTAAAATGGGAAACAAATGGGCACGCATGGCAGCCCATGTATGTACACACAATCTTCTTTTCAATTCTATTGTTTTTGGTAATTTGATACTTGCTGGCCTAGGTTTCCTTGCTTTTTCCTGGAAAAAAAAAGTGTTTTGAGGATTGAAATTTCTATGGAATTCATTTCATTTGTAGACGATACATGACAGTATCAAATAGATGCTTGTTTCCAACTTTCAAGATAAGATATACAAGACTAGCAGATTGGATGTTTCAATGTGAAAACTTATAGCTAGACATTTTATTTTGTTTGTTCTAATTTAAAGTTTTTTCAATGCAAATTATAATTTTTTCAAATTTGAAATTTTATATTATTTATTTATGTATTTTTTGTAATCTGATTTTATCAATTGTCATGCCATATAACAATATCTATTCCTTTATTTGTAATTTACCAAATATTTATATGATCAAGATATAGCTAAACCATAGGAGAAATAATTTGGGGGCTCTTACAATGATTTTTTTTGGGGAACTAAAAGGCAATAACAAAACAGTTTTTAATTGGGAGGACATGAAAAATTATGCGTTACATACATGTATATGAGAAATGATTTACTTTTTGGGGCTCGTTGATATGTGGTTCAGTGCATGAATCCATGTTTCAAATTGGTTATAAACTTTCCTTCCCTGTATCATCATGACATACGAAGTCTTTTTCCTGCAACGTAGAAGTCTGTGATATTTGGACCAAATTTTGTGGTAATTGGCAGTATCAAATGATTTTCCAACCAAACCAAAAAAGGTTTAGCAACTAGAAGTGTGACTTTCCTGATGCCATTAGATTTTCTCTGGTAAATAATTATGGACTTCTCCTCGTATGTTGATTGAATGGTGATACTTGAACATTCTCTACTAACAGGGGCTGCTAATGTATTTAACTTATTGTCTGCTTGAAAACTAGGAAGCCAGAAAGGAATAAATTAGAAGTTTAGTTTTGTAAAATAGATTTCTAATAACTTTCAAGGCGGTCATATTTTGTTCTGTAACTGGTAGAGAGTGATTAGTATAGCCTAGGCTGATTATCTAGTTTGTATATTTAGTTCCTTGTTCATTTTTATTGAATTGAGTAAGAATTGCAAATGAAAAGGTGATTTCTGGAGTTTGCATATAAGAAGTACCAAATAATCATTTTTGTGGAGTCTTAGATTATGTATGGTATGCTCCTATCTATATCTCAGCTATTGGCATTTGTCTTACACCATATTTGCACATTAAGGTTAAGCTATTTTTTAGAACTATTTCATATGGTTAATGTACATTTTATATCTATGGTGGCTGCCTGTTGTCATCAAGGGCTAAGATGCTATCTCTACCATTCAAATCTTGTTGCCATAGATTTTAACAATCTAGTTATAGGCTTTTCTTGTTTTGATCTTTAGAAATAATTCCATTTCCTTACTGAAGGTATTTATTGTGTTTTTCCTTAGTTGCCTGGACGTACAGATAATGAAATTAAGAATTACTGGAATACTCGAATTAAGAGGCGGCAGCGGGCTGGTCTACCTCTGTATCCCCCTGAAGTGTGTTTGCGTGCATGGCAGGCTAGTCAGCAGACCCAAGACACAGGTGGAAGTAATATTGGAGATAAAGATCGTCATGATCTTCTTCGGGCTAATAGTTATGATATAATACCGGATGTCACATTTCAGAGCTTGAAGCATCAAGCCGTTCCCACCTTCTCTTATCTCAACGAGCTTCCAGATATTTCAAGTTGTATGATGAAAAGAGGTCTTGATTCTTCTCAATACTGTAATTTCATGCAATCAACAGCGCATCGTCAAAAGCGTTTCCGGGAATCGACGTCCTTATTCCCTGGTCCCGATGGTAGTGTTAAAACCCCATTCCACCAGTTTGAGGATAATTCCTATGATCAAGTTGCTCAGTCATATGGGTCGCCTTTTCCTCTTGATCCAAACCCTACCAGTAAGAATGCCATGTCCTTTGGCTCGTTTGAGGGTAGCCATTCCCTTACAAATGGCAATTCCTCTGCTTCTCAGCACTCGAAAGAGACAGAGAAGTTGGAGCTCCCTTCACTCCAATATACAGAAACTGATTTAAGCAGTTGGGACCCACCCATCCCACCGGGAATGTTTGAACCAGTTGATCCGTTTATTCAATCTCCACCAACATTCATGTTGGGATCAGATTGCCCTTCACCACGCAATAGTGGCTTGCTAGAAGCTTTAATATATGAATCTAAGACAATAGGTTGTCCAAAGAATCATCCATCTGATAAGAATTCAAATTCATGCAGTGTTACTCCAGGTGATGTAACTGATAGTTACAATATGACTGCGAGTAAGGCAGAATTGGATGACTATACCGAGGCCGCTTCTCCATTCGGTCATTCTACCTCCTCGCTTTTCAGTGAGTGCACACCAATCAGTGCGACTGGAAGTTCATACGACGATCCTACACTTACTGAAGCCTTTTCTGGTAAGTTCTCCACTAGAATATTGATGAAGAAATTTATAATTACTTCTAATTTCAACTCTTACCTCGGTTGTTAAGGCGTATTGATCATTTAAATTACTCTTTACATACCTACCATTCATGTGTGGACTTGGATTTTAGTTTGCATTATAAGGGTTGGACCCTCATATTTTTGTCGGAGGAAGTAACATTATTGAATATAGATTTAGGATCTCACGTTTGATTACATGTTAAGTTGTGGTTAACTGTAAAAATTTAACTTGCAAACTCGAGGGAATTTAACGGTCTAGTTTATTCTTAACAAGAATTTTTGTGATATTCAACTTGGATACTCAGAAGATTCTTGAAGAACTGGTGAATTCTAATATTTGTTTGCATATTAGTTGAGATGGGACTATTTAATGGATTACATTCGGAGTAGCTGTATTCTGAGGTTACACATTTGAACCCCTGGTTTTTCTAAATCGAATTATAAAGTTTGAGTTTAAAGGACTAGTAATGTTGGACGGTATTGATTGAACGTTATATATCTACCACATTGGTTTGTGTGTTCTCTGCACTCAAAGAGTGTTATTACGCTTGAACTCTGCAGGAAGTAACGTGAAATCAGAACCAGTTGATCACACATGGACCCCAGATAGAGAAAAAGAGGCCAAAAGCGCTCTTGAATTCCCACGTCCAGATGCCTTGCTCGCTTCGGATTGGCCGGAGCGGAGTTCAGGATTTGTGAAGGACACAACCAATATGACCGATACTATCACAATGCTTCTAGGTGATGATTTGGCTGCAGACTACAAGCACTTACCGAATGGGATTTCAACGTCGCATTCGGGATGGGGTCTTGATTCTTGTTCATGGAATAACATGCCAGCAGTGTGTCAAATGGCTGATCTTCCTTAATCTCTCAGCAGTTGTTCAAAATGAAAGAGCTGAAAACTGTCTCTTTGGTTTACACGTCATCGACTTGTAAGAGGAAGACGGTTTCTCGGCTGCTTAGTCGACCAGGGGAGGTTAGTTATTCTGGTCCTTTTTCGGTAGATTTTGATTCCCTGTTTGTTCAACAGAAAAAAAAAAACAAGATCATTGTATGTGGAACTGTTTAGGTTTGTAATGGGCACAATGGAGTGCTTTCTAAGATGACTGTGTAATAACTTTGAACTTTGTCATGGTTTGTCATGGAACATTGGGATTCAATGGTCTATTCGTTTCTTCAAATTCTGGCCTCTTCTTCTTCTTTAATGGTTATTCTTTTCTTTTTTCTTGTCTTCCAAGACGAAAAATAACTAATATGGTGACAGCAAAAGGTGTATCGAGACGAGACGTTGCAGCGTAGACTGAATATAGAAAGAAGGGCTCGTATTCGACGGTTTGAGATGATTTCTTGCCCGTTTTTTACATTGTGCCTCTCTTGTCAATGCAGTTATTTGTCCATCTTGATAAATTGATGGACAAATATATAAAACTATTTGTGCCTGTCTTCTTCTTCTTTAATGGTTATTATTTTCTTTTTTCTCATCTTCCAAGACAAAAAAATAACTAATTTGGTGACAGCAAAAGGTGTATCGAGACCGAGCACAATGTAGACTGAATATAGAAAGAAGGGCTCGTATTGTATTCCACGGTTTACGATGATTTCTTGCCTCTCTTGTCAATATATGAATTTCCCCATCTTGATATATATATATATATATATATATACTTTTTTTCATTTCAATTTTTAATGTAGAAGGAAATTAAAAAAAATGGTTGTAATATTCTCCTTGTTGTGAGGTGGCATTAATTTTTTCTTTCTTTTTTTTAGCTCAACCGTGGGGATTATAATTTTTATCTTTTTATAAATGGAAGTAATATTTTTACTAACTAACTTATATCGTTAGATGAGAAAATATTAATTATTAGAAATGTTTTTGGAGATATTGGTTTAATTTGTCCCACACTTAGATATTTTTATTGTTATTATTATATAATATGTGTCTTCATCTCTAATTTGGTAGTGGTTAGATTTTCACCATAAGCATAGCACAATAGTTAATTATTGTACGTTGTTAGCTATTGCTTACTTTGATTGTTTTTTTGATCCATGTTCATAGCTTGGACCTTGAGATTTTTGTTGTTTTTTACAAACATAAAAACATATCATTATTAACCGAGTTTTGGATCCTTGAAATAATAAAATTATACCAGTAAAAAAAAAAAGGATCAATATTGAAATTATAGTTGAGTTTAGAACCCGCAAGAGAAAAGATAAATGATCTTTATTTAACATGTTTTCTTGTTATATATATTTCTAAAACTTAATAAGAACTAACACATGAAATTGAACCAAATCGAGCATAGTTCAATTAATTGAGACACCGATATTAGATTAAAAAATCGTGAGTTCAAATTCTCACTCATAGTCCATGGGCATATCCATGTATTTTGTTATGTGATTTTTTTCTCTAAAAGAATTAGCATTGACTTAATCGTTGACTTTATGTTTACGTGTCCGCTCATGATTGGGTTGATGTACATCATTTGACAAACTCTTGTGTACTGGAGCAGAATATCCACCGGCCAATTTTTTTTTATTTTTTAAAAATTTTTTTTTTCTCGTTGGCGTTTGGTTTTCGAGAAAGTGGCACTGGGAAAAAATTTTCCCGAGAAAACCCTACTCTTCTCCAATGAAGCTTCACTATTCTCTACTCTTATCACTTTCGACACTGTTGCTGCACTGCTCTCCTTAAGATGCTGTACAAATCGGCGATCTGAGTCTCGTTCTTCAATCCATTTGCTACAATTGGTAACTTCCTTTCGCTCATTCTTGGTATTTATCGCGAGCTTTCGAGTTTCTAAAATGATCATTTTGTTACCTCCATTAGGCCTCAATCTCAGTTTCCTCGGCTGAACTTGTGCTGGACGCGTGGTAAAGGTATTCATCTTCTCTCTCTGTTTAGCTGAAACTCGGATTCGGAGAGGAATTTGGATGGACTATTAGTTTGAGGAAGCCGAACTAAGTTAATATTGTAATATTGTTATATGTGTTAATAAAGAAAAATTTTCTTGAAGCTCTGATGTTTACTGATGTCAATTGCGTACTAAGTCTCACTTTCCTCATTTTTCCATGGAAATATCTGTTCTACAACTGCGGTTTTTGTTCATTTTTTGTTCATCTGAATCCGAAACTGCTCTTTTGAAAAAGTATAACATTGACTGCCTTTGCAAATGTTAATTTTCTAGTAACATTGATTTTCAACATGAATAATTTGGCATTGTAGTTCAAAGAGTGTATAAGATGTTTGTCCTGATATACTGGTGGAAACATTTAACTTAGTTTAGATTGATAGTTACGTGGAATTAAAGCTTTACAGAAAGGTACCTAAATTCAAATACTACTAGTTTCATTTTTATTTTCGAATTTTGTTAGAATTCTTATTTTTAGTTTACTACTCCAAATATATCCGCCTCCAATGGGCAGCCCAGTTGGCAAGGGCTGAGGTCTCAAGTTTGAATCTTCTAGTGAGCTTAATACCAAAAACCCTTGATGTCTCCCAGGTCTAGAACTTGGGGTAGTCGCGAGTGTCTTTGGGTATACGCAGCAAAACTCCAACTCCCAATTCTCGGAAAAAAAAAATAGTAATAACTAAATAAAACCACTACAAATATATCATTTCCATTGACAATTAACTTATCCGTTCTGAGAGCGAAGGTAAGTATTGTGAAATGGATTGTTTATGATGCATTCTCTCAAGTTTAGTAGTTCTTGTCTTTACGTTTGCCTAATTCAGGGCTTCATCTTCAATAAAAGGCATAGAAATGCCTGAGTTGGATTCGATTATAAGAATTTTTGCCACTGCAATTTGCTTTCGGTATATGTTGGGAAACAGTACCCTCAATTGCCTCTAACTATCCTTTAGCACTCCCCTCTTTATGGGAGAATTTGTTTAGGTTGTTGTACTAGTTTGATCAGCTGTAGCGCACATACGATGCTTGCTTTCCTGAGTAAAAAGTGATTGCGATTGTAATAATTTCATTTGGGAAGTTCTTGCTTGAACTTTGTTGGACCTTTCCTAACCTCCTGCAGATCCAATGCACCAGGGGTTGTCGTCTGTCGAATTGTTAGAGTCATGTACCGACTGCGGAAATGTTCTTTACAGCTATCCTTGTCATGTGATTTTAAGGGTTTTCTCCTTTTCTTCTCCATTCAAACAAATTGTTTGCGAACTAGTGTTAATTCCATGTCTAACTTCAGTGCAATATCCCATTGTCGTTCTCATTCTATAGTATCTCAATTATTTGTATGTTTTACTTCCATGATTGTTTCTTAATTCTTTTCAACTTTTATAGCTCCTGCTCTAGGAATAAGTACTGGATGTGATATTTGTTTATGTTCTGCTCTTAATTATTCTTTTGATTTTTTTTTTCTTTTTCAGTGGTCATCACAAGCATATATCCAACGCATGTCTCTAGATGACTAAAAGTAAGTAGACACTGACACGATATATTCTGGAATTGGAAGTAATTTCATTCTAATTTCCTCATTCAGAAAGTTCTCCAACTCCCATTTTAGATTAAAAGGCAACTGAATTGCCATAGCTGGTTGATGCGAACGAATTCCGACACTTTTTATACATTCTTCTTATACAGGAATGGAGTCATATGACCTTCTAGGGCAGAGAAGGGATGTAAAGCACAAAGGAAGGAATGTTGTTTGGTCAGTTGCAATGGACAAGTGCCTCATTGAAGCCCTTGCTGTTCAAGCCAGAACTGGGAATAAAATCGACAGATGCTTTAACGAAAATGCATATACAGCTGCTTGTATTGCTGTCAATTCTTGTTTTAACTTAAACTTGAACAACCAGAAAGTTATCAACCGCCTTAAGACGATTAAGAAGAGGTACAAGGTAATCAAGGATATTCTTTGTCGAGATGGGTTTCGGTGGAATCCAACTTCGAAGATGATCGACTGTGACAGTGAAGACCTTTGGAAGAGATATGTGGCAGTGAGTAGACGTTTCTCTCCCCATTTCTTCATGTTTAAACAGTCACAACTATAATGGAAATGTTCATGTATAACAATATTCAATTCGTGGAATAGGCGCACCCCGACGCGAGAGGACTCAGAGGGAAGCCGATAGAGATGTATGATGAACTGAACATTGTGTGTGGCAACTATCAGGCCCCGAGTCAATGGGCTAAGATGAAGGATGGAAACCATCCACTGCAGGTCAGGAATTTCGAAGAAGAGTCTGCATCGTTTCACTCCCCTAGCTCTGAAGATCTTAGTGAAACAGATGATACAGAGTCATACACCGGACCATCTGAATATGCAGAACTACCCAATGGCAGTCAGGAACCTCTGCAAAACAATCTACCGAGACAACATCCGAAGAGGCCAAGGGCATCTGAGGCTCTCCAGGATGCAATGCTGGCAGTGGCGTCCAGTATTCGTCGCCTGGCTGATGCAATGGAACTAAGCAAACACACGATAGATGCCAACGAACTCTTAGAAGCCGTGATGGAGGTCGATGGTTTGGAGGAGGCCAGACAGATGTATGCCTTTGAATATTTAAATGCTGATCCGGTGAAAGCCCGAGCGTTCTTGACGTATAACGCTCGGATGAGGAAAATATATTTGTTTCGCCAGTTTTGGTGGTGGAAGTGATCTTCAACTATCATAAAATTCTTGTGTACCATTTGAAATTGTATTGAACTTGTTTGATGGTGTTAAAATTTACACATTATTGGAACCATATCTGATTGGTAATTCTGAATGTAAATGTATAGATAAATTCAATTGAAGATGGATCATTGCCCAAATCTTTATTGCTTCCAATTCTGGTAGGGAATCAATTTCTTTTGATCAACCAATTCTCTGTGGAAAAATGTATGAAAATATATTGATGTTATTTACCCTAAATTAGGGCTACAAGTTTTCTAATCTCACGGATTGAAGACAAAATGGTTATAAACGAGTAAATCAGGATTTTGAAATAACCCTAGATCAAAGTATAAGAACTAAAATGTATTTTCTCTCATTTTTGTGAATAAATTCTACTATTGGATTGAATAAAAAATAATAAGAAAACTCATCGTGGAAATTAAATTATTTATGTTAGAGCATAAACTAAAATGCATTTTCTCTAATTTTTGTGAATAAATTCTACCATTGGATTGAATAAAAAAATAATAAAAAAATAATAAGAAAACTCATAGTGGAAATTAAATTATTTATGTTATAGCAGAAAATCAAAGCATACGCATAATCTTTGCACCTTGAAAAATGTGTTCGAGCCTTAACTTGGACAAGTTGAAGATGAATAGACAATCCGACAATACGTCAATTTCATTGGTAGAGAATCTTTTTACAGTCGACGACAGAATATCCGCTTAATGACATGTTCAAATATTCAACTAAGTTATATTTGACACCAGCTCAATTTAAGATATTAATAAGTATTCAACTAAGCAATCTTTTGTTTGTCGGTCGTTTGTTAATCTACTCAATCTCAATCACTCGCTGACGTGTAATCTCAACTATCGACAATTTCATAGATAAACTTTTATAAAAAAGAAAATAATAATAATAATAAATAAATATTCACCTAATCAACCAAACTGATGAACTCAAAAGAAGTTAGAGTTAGACTTCCAGACAAGTCTTCGGTACACGACAAAAATGGGTTATATACCATACATGCAAAACCATCTCACTCCATTATTATTATTATTATTTTAACAATAAAGATTTTAAACTTTTTCACAAAAAGGAAAAGAAAATATATTAAAATTTAAAACACCGAGGAAAAAAAACGTTGCTCTATAACACTTGAATAATTAAGGTTGGATTATATATTTTTGTCTTTTATTAAAATTAATAAATGTTTGAGCTATTTTTAAATGGACCAAAAATTCAATAATAAAAATTTAAAATTTTTAAACATATACTAATAATAAGAAATTAAAAATTTGAAACGAACATAGTTCAATGAGTCAAGACACTACTTATTTCTCTAAATATAAAAAGTTGGAATTTTTTTTTGCCTTAATCGAACTAGATTGAGTTTCATTAGGAGATGTTTAATAATAAAAAAAATTAACCAATTTACTTTAAAATGAAAAAAGAAGAAAGAAAATTGGCTTTGGAGCAATCTTGAATAGCTTGAGAATGGAGGATTAAAAAAATGAAATATTATTTTGGAAGGAGGCAAAAAAAGAAAAAAAAAATTAGAGGGAACAGAAGCCTCGTTAATGGTGGCAGAAGTAGACAAATGAAAATGGGGGGCTCATCATTACCGCATGAGGGTGCGAACATGGAACCATTTCCCCTTTGAATATTAAACAATCTCAAAGAACGAAGACTCAGAAAATTTGGCCAATTAAAGTTGGTTGTGTTTGTAAAATTCCTTTTTAAAAATGATTTTTTTTTTCTTTTTTTGCGTTTTCAGACAGTAAAAATTTCCCCTTTTGTTTTTCCCACATCCTCTCTCACACCTGGGCTTGTCCCTCTCCCTCTCTTCCATTTTTCCATTTTTCCCCCCATTTTGTTCTTCAGCCCCTCCACTTAGCTCTATTTTTCTTCCCCAATTCCTCTTCTGTGATGCATTTTTGATGCCTTCTTCTCAATTTCACCTCCTTTTTCCAACCCCACATTCTATCTTCTAGGCTTTTCAGATCGTGCTGTTTGTGTTCGTCGAATTCTTCAGGTACTGCACTTCAATTCCTTCTTCTCTCCCGTTTTTGGGTCTTATTTTTTGTTTCTCTGCATTACCCATTTGGGGTTTCTGTTTCCTGTTTGTTTTTCTTTTGCTTTATATTTCTGTCTTTCTCGGCTACTTGGGTTGAGCACAGAATGGTTTTCTCCTGTTTCCCCCATTTTTGATGTCTGGGAATTTTGAGGTTTTGAGTAGAACTCACTGATATCATTGCATGCAAACCCCTTTTCTTTGTATTCATCATCTGGGCTTGGGGTTTTGTTTATTGGGTCGCTTTGTTGATCGATTTATTCTCGTTGTTTTAAAAGTTGCGACAGTTTTTTTTTTCCTTCTTTTTTGGTTTGATCAGAGATTCAACATCTGTCAGTAATGGCCCTTTCCCCTCACCAAATTGTGACATTCTTGAAGTTTTCTTGAGAATAGTGGCTTCCGATTATTGTCTTGAAGCATCTCATTAAGCTGGAATTTTTCTTGTTCTCTTTGACATTTTTGGGTTATGGGTTTAGGGTTTTCTCAGTTCTTGATCAGTGGGGGCTATTGGCTCTGCATGCAGGGTTTCATCTACCATTAACTCTGTCCACTCTTGGCATTGGCAATCAATTTCTGGGTTTTATTGGAATGAGTATGTTCTTCTTTCTTTTCTGCCTTTGTCCCCCATTAAGATCAGATTTCTTTCAAAACCCTTTTCTTTAAGATGTCAGTGAAAGTTGTTGGAGTCTTAAAGTTTACTTTTGGGTTTCTACTTGTAAGCTATGTTACAGATCATGTTTCATGGGAGATTGTACTTTCCTCCAGTGCATTGCTGGATGTTGTCCTATTTTGGATCTGATCCAGTGATTAATCTAACCATCCCTTTCTCTTCCAGATTTTAAGATGTAAATATTTTTGAATTGGCACTTGCTTCATATCTTTTGCAGAAGCAGAACTTCATTGGCTTGTTTCAACCAGATTCGCTTGGGGTTCGCAAAATCAAGTTGAATGAGGTGGCATAACGTTCTGTGTGGAAGTTTGCATTTGAGATATGGATTAAAATTTAAGTTGGATTAGGTGAATGGGGATTCAAACTATGGGGTCTCAGGCCGGAGGTGATCCAAATGGCAAACAATCACAATTCCAGCCATTGGTTCGTCAAAACTCGCTATATAGTCTCACACTTGATGAGGTCCAAAATCAGTTGGGTGATCTAGGAAAACCATTAATCAGCATGAACCTTGACGAGCTTCTTAAGAATGTGTGGACTGCTGAGGCCAACCAGACCGCTGGTAAGGACAATGAGGATGATACTGTGTTGGCCCATCAAACATCCTTACAACGTCAGGCTAGTCTTTCATTGAACGGTGCTCTGAGTAAAAAGACTGTTGATGAGGTGTGGAGAGATATTCAGCAAAGCAAAAACAGTGAGGAGAAGAAGTCTCGAGAACGGCAGCCCACCTTAGGAGAGATGACATTGGAAGATTTTCTGGTGAAAGCAGGGGTCGTCGCTGAGACGTTGTCGGATAATAAGAAAGATGCGGGTCCTGTTGTTGAAATCGATGCGAATATCACACCCCAGTTTCCGCAACAAGGGCAGTGGATACAGTACCCTCAACCTCAATATCAGCAACAAGCAGCAATGATTTACATGTCAGGTCAGCCCATTACCCAACCACTACATGTGGGGACTGGTGGTGTGATCGATGTTCCATATGTGGACAACCAGTTGGCATTACCCACACCTTTGGTGGGAGCTTTATCTGACACACAGACATCTGGAAGGAAAAGGGGAGCACCCGAAGACGTGATTGAGAAAACTGTCGAGCGTAGGCAAAAGAGGATGATAAAGAATCGGGAATCTGCTGCTCGTTCACGAGCAAGGAAGCAGGTGATTTTTAAAATCTTCAGGTTTTGTAAAGTTTAAAGTAATTAGTACTTCATTTCTTTTTTCTCGTTCCGTTTTTCTAAGTTGCCACTTTGAACAGGCTTATACCAATGAACTGGAGAACAAAGTTTCACGTTTGGAGGAGGAAAATGAAAGGCTCAGGAAACGGAAGGTAAGTTTTCTTTAGATTTTGGATATGGATGGTTGTGGAATATTTTTTATGGCTAAATGGATTGAAATGAATCACCACGTATTAGGCAGATATGGTTTTAAGTTTCCACATTGTACTCGACCTTTCTATTTACTAGATCTTGTATAATGAATTTGAGGACAAAAGCACACACTTTAGATCTCAGTTCATCCCCTCACTAGTTTGCTGTTATTAGAACAAATTCTGCTAGTGGATACGCCTCCCAAAATTTATTTCTTCTTCCCACTCCGTTTAATTGGCAGTTAGCACAATACATTTGCATCATGGGAGGAGGTTTGGGATGTTTTTAGATATTATGCCTCTTTGGGCATCATTTTTTTTGCATCACTCCTTGGGTTAGATTTTGCTATATTGGGTTTGGCTCTTTTTCTTAGGTTGTTTTTTTGTATGCCCTCCTGATTTCTTTCAACTTTCTTAAGAAAGTTCAGTTTTTTCTTAAGAAAAAACAATACATTTGCATCATATTGAATAGGACCCGGAAGAGTAGATTTCCTTTCCTTTCCTCTTTTATCAGCTCTTATAGTAACCCCTGGCCATGCATCAGTAACAATTGAGAGTAGTCCAAGGAGCTTTCGACATCCACAGACATTGCCTCGATTTTTCAATGAAGTTCTCTTCCACAGAATCATCAAGTCTAATAAGAGTGCAAAGTTGAAAGTGCTTTACTTTGTCACCTCAATCAATCAACCATCCTGTTTACAACTTAAACAGCCACAACAACTTAGTCGAAGAAACCTGCTCATTCTGTTAGCCAATATCAAACCAGGTCGATAATTGTATAAGCATTATTTCTAACCTGGTTAGTTTCCCGAATGATATTCTTTTTGCGAGGGTTGTATTTGTCTCTTTCTGCATTTTGAACCATGCTAAGAAAAGACTGAAAGCTGTTTCAATGTTTCTATCATTGTCTCCTAGAAGTTTTAGAACATATCATTTCTTCGTGTACTTAAATTGGATACTGCACAAACTCCTCCATCTGTACAGGGGTGTTCCAAAATTTAGGATTTCATATTATTGTTAAAAGCTCTCTAACACGAGGCCGTTTGTATCTGTCAATAGCGAGAGTGGAAATGAGGCAGAGAAGCATTCCTCTCGTTAAGTTGGGATTCATTTCTGATGTAGTTCTCATGGAAGGGTAGGGAGGGAATAACATTTTATTCTCGAGTTCCTGTGGAATTTGCCAATCTTCATTCTAATTTATTTCTCTCTGGCCTTTTGCGTGGGTCCTGCATCGATCTTTCTATATACAAGACAGAAGTAATCCTCTTCATCCCATTCTGATTCAAAATAATTTTAGTAAATATACTACTAGAAGCACTTTTCTTAATCCTATCTATTTAATTTTGACTCTCTGCCTATTCTTATTTAAGGAATGGGCCCAATATCCACTGATATTACTTTTAGAATGTACTTGCATTTTTAACCTTGTTTAGCATTCAACATCAATCATGTATATGATCCAATGTTCTTTCTAGTGATTCTTTTACTTGAGATCCTCATTAGTCATCCCTTGGGTGGTTGTTAAAGCCGAAACACGATCGCGCGTGTGTGTGTGTGTTTTTTATGAAATAGCCAGCTTTCGTTGAGAAAAAATAAAAAAGAAATAATACAAAAAAGGAAGGCCCAAGTTGGTTCAAATGCTTTCCCCCATCTTTCTCCAACTATAGCTTAAACAATCTTTCCATTAGTTGGAGGGCCTTTTTGTAATTCCTGATCGGTTTCTCCCTTTTTTGTATATTTCATCATATCAGAAATATTTGTTTCTCATTAAAAAAGAAAAAAAGAAAAAAAAAAACCCAAGACAATTAGAGCCAGAAAACAAAAAGCTGTGTAACTACCAGACATGGGATGTCATTAGCAAGATTTCAGTTGGAGGACTTTTGCTTGACCCCTCTTTTTAGGTAAAAGGACAATTTACCCCTTTGTCCTTTAGGTTGTTTTGTTTTTGCCTTTGGCCTCTCTGAATGGATTTTTCTCCCTGTTTTTTTCTTTCTTTCCTTTCTTTTTTGATTTTTTTCATTAAAAAAAAAAAGAAGCAATGGTTCAGTTAATGAAACTGAGATATGGCTTGTTGGTCTTTTATGCTGTAGCAAGCTCTGAAGCTTGAAAAAATTTCAAGTGTTTTTTCATTCTTGGATCTTTTGGGAGCACCAACAGATACACTTACCCTTTCCTTTAGATTTTTAGTAGCCCAACAATTTTGTTAACAAGTAACACTTAACTTTTATCACCGACCCGAAAATCTATGGACAGCATACTACAGTGAGTAATAATAGTTTTTCAAATTGGTTATCTATCACCTGTTTAATAACATTCAATCATATATTACATAGACTCATTCCTTGCATAGCTCATTGTTCTTATTTTGCAGAGTTCTTACTTCTTAGGACCAAAATTTTATGTTTAGTGCCTATAGGGCTTTCTTGTTGTAAAAGATCATTCTGAAGGAACCAGTTCACCTGGTTTTAACTTTTAACTTTTAAGTAAGTGTCATTCTGACCGGGAGTTGAAGAACGGAATCTGTCTTGGATTGTGCATTTTGATGTTTAGAAATCTCGGATATTTGGTTATTGGTTGTGGATCTGATTGAATGTTATGGATATTTTGTGGTTGTGTAGTTTGTTAACCTTTATGCTTTTATACTGCCTAAGACATGTGGATGACTTGGCATTTTTCAACCCTAAATGTGGTTGGATTGGACAGTTTTGTACGATATAGAGGTATATTCAAAGTTCATTTAGATTAATATATCCGAACGAACACCCGTGATCTTTAGAAAAAAAGCTGCAAATAGTAAAAAACCAAAGAAAATAGGGCTAGGTAACCATTTATTAGAAGTTTTCCCTTAGTTTGTTGAAACAAATTGGGTAGTCCCAAGTTGATACTCTCTTCTGTTTGGTTTTCCAAAAGTTAACAACATAACAAGTTCTCATACAGTCTACTTTTCGTCGGGCTCAGACCAATACTCTACTCAATCAAAAGCGCCATCCCCATTCGGGTGTCTCGGCTATACAAACACAAAAAACTACTAATATAGTGTAACATTCTACCAATTTAATTGTCTTGTTTTTGCTTCAAGGAGTTTCTTTACCATGTAGGAACTGGAGAAGATGCTACCGTTGGCTCCCTCGCCCGAGCCAAAGTACCAGCTTCGGAGAACATCGTCAGCGCCGTTCTAACCTGCACATCAGCTCTCTCTCTCTCTCTCTCTCTCTCTCTTCCTCTCTCACTCATAAAGGTCTATGTTGGTTCTTCTTGTTGATAGTTTGTTTGTAACTATCATCAGGTTTTGTTTGTACTTATTAGAGCTCTGTTATATTAATCAGTGGTAGAGAGATTCTCATGGGACCATTGTAACTTTGAATGTCTCTATGATTTGTCATATAAAGTTTTTTAGTTGAGCTTCAAAGCAAAAAAAAAAAAAAATGTTTGAATGTAAATTTTCCCAGTTTCATAAGGAGAAAAAAATAATATAAATGGTAATTCTTGTTTCAGTTTCTGGGCTTCTCTTTGCTATATCTGATTACATTTACATTTTTCCCCCTGAAACTTTATATATATATATATATATATATATATATTAATGATATAGGGTGAATTTGGGATATTTTGGGTATTTTGAAAAAGGTAAAAGAATGAGTGCTTTCACTTTAAATTTGTTTAGCTACTATTTTGGTCGGTACTTTTGGAAGGTTTATTTTGGTTCTTATATTTTTAACTTATTTATTTTATTTATTTTAGTTTATGTACTCTTGAAGTATTTGGTTTGGTCTCTATATTCTAAAAAATGGTAAGATCTACTCAATTTTATTTTTATTTCAATTTTTAGATGTGGTTATAAATTTATAGTTTATTGGATGTAAATTTTGTGTTAAAAATTTTACAAATAGTGGCATCTTTTACATAGGTCAAAATAAACACATTTTGAGATTAAAATGAATAAACATTTTGAGTTAAAAATACACCGATTAAAAAAAATGTTTTGGGCCTGTCTCTCAATTGAACCCATACGTGATGGTCAACTTTTGTATATTGATTACGAAGCGCCAAGCGTTGGTACTTCGCGAAAGTACATGATTAAATGAACCAGAAACCACTCGAACCAAACCAAAATAACTATTTTTTAATTATTGTATGTACATCCTCATAAGACTATGATTTTTTTTATTATACAATTTGCTTCTACTTTTCACTGGTCAACGTTTATTTATTTATTTTTTTTAATAGGCTGTTTTCAATATGTTGTTTCATGGAAACTAGATACAAAATGTATTTAATAATAATGAAATATATTTATGATATATTAGATCATCAAGCATACATTAAAAGATCGAAATATAAATTAATAAAATTAGATTTATTTTAAAAAAATATTTTTTGTAATAGGTTTTTTTCACACGAATATATTGTTTTTTGAAATCTTTTTTCGACACGGGTTAAAGTGAAAATGATAAGACGCAATTTTATAAATTATTTGATTAAATTTTTTTTTTATAACAATTTAATTTTGTTAAAGATGATAAGTTAGAAAATAATTTATAGGAAAAGGACAAATTTGATAATAAGATAAGATAAAAGGGCATTTTCGAAATTTCGCCTATAAATTCTATCGTTTTACCGAAGCTTAATGGGCCGTTGTTCGAAGCCCAGCCCAAAGTTTCGTAGAAGAAATTCAAACGCCGGTTGCTGTGATACGATGCGTCGGTTAAATTTAATGGTCTGTTTGGCTCTCGATTTTCTCGATTCGGGAAATCAAATTCTGCCGCTGTATCGTCCTTTCTCCCTCCGAAAATTCTCTGCTTTTCCTCAGAAAATTCAAAATCTCAGTGCTCTCTCTTCCCTTTCTCTGCTTTTATGTTCGTACGTTTTTCAAATTTGATCTTCACTGTTAGGGCTTTTGCATTTCTGGATCTTTTCGGCTGTCGGAATCGTGACAATTGTCCAGAGAAATGTCGGCTTCGACCGTGTCGATAACGGCGAATCCGGCGGCGCGGAGGAGGCCGGTTTTGGCGACGGAGAAGAAGGGGGGTAGTATCGAATTGTTGGCCGCTGATGTCGCGAACCCTCTTTCGAATGCTGCTGCAACCGCTGGGACTGGTGGAGCCGCCGATGACAAGGTCGCCGTCGGAAATGGTAGGGATATGAGCCATCACTCGATTAGGGGAGAGGCTGTTCTTGAGCGCTCCTCTAGGGATCCACTTCAGATCAAGAAAGCCGTCGCGAATTCCACCATTTCCCCGCGGCGGAGTAGAAAGGTCCTTACGAAGCCGGAGAAGCCTCGATGGCTCACCATCCTTAGCGTCTTTACCAAGAATTTTGTTCTTTTGTTGGTTCTTCTGGGGTTGGTTCAAATGATTAGGAGGTTAGCCCTAAAGTCTGGGGAAGGAGCGGTGGGAAATCAGATGGGGTTTTCGGAAGTCGAGGGGCGGATTGCGGAAGTTGAAGCGTTCTTAAAGACCACCACTAAGATGATCCAGGTGCAGGTGGAGGTCGTCGATCGCAAGATCGAGAACGAGGTTGGGGGATTAAGAAGGGAAGTTGACAAGAAGATTGAGAAGAAAACTGCTGACCTTGAGAGCGGTTTGAAGATGCTGCAGACCAAGGGGGAGGACTTGGAAAGGTCTTTGAGCGAGTTAAGGGCTGTGGATTGGTTGTCAAAGCAAGAATTTGATAAGATTTATGAGGACTTGAAGAGGGCAAAGAGTGGTGAATTTGATGATCGATATGCAAGTTTGGATGATATAAGGGTCTATGCAAGGGAGATGATTGAGAGGGAGATTGAGAAGCATGCAGCCGATGGGCTTGGTAGGGTGGATTATGCTCTTGCTTCTGGTGGGGCTATGGTTGTAAAGCATTCGGAGCCCTATATAGGTAGGACAAGTAGTAGTTGGTTTCCGAAAAGTGCGAGGAATGGGGTTCACAATGATGCTGATAAGATGCTGAAACCGAGTTTTGGGGAGCCCGGGCAGTGCTTCCCCTTGAAAGGAAGTACTGGGTTTGTTCAAATTAGGCTACGGAGTGCAATCGTTCCAGAAGCTATTACTTTAGAACACGTTGCCAAGGTGATGCCTTTATTTCTTTTTATTACTGGTTGCTGTGTAATCTTTTTTTGTAATATTCAAATACACGCTTCTCTATAGTAAAGTAAGTATCTGCTGCCTTTGAGAATCTCGGAAATGTGCATGAACATTGATTAGAAAAGAGAAATAGATGTATAGATGCATAGATTGGATAAACATTGCAGTATACTGCAATTTCAGGCCTCTTCTCGAGTGTCAATGACTAAGGAATTTTGAGTAACTTATCTTTATTTGTCATAGATGTACTGGCCTGCTCGTCCACTTCCTTTCCTATTACCTTTTTTTTTCACTGAAACAAAACCGGCAAAGTTAAAGTGAAGGTAGAAGATAGTCATTGGATATTTGGGACTTGGGAAACAGATTTCCTAAACATTAACGGGTGTGAATTTTATATTAGGAGGGTATCTAAACGTTATTGTCTTCTGCAGTCTTTTTTTTTTTTTTTTAACGGTTGTTTAAAAGTGCTAAGAACTTGTTACAATCATCTATGCAGTAGACTCAATTTCATTGAAGGTGTATATTTATGGCATAAAAATTGATTTTCTAATGTTCTGAAATTGATGTATCTTATATTTTTTTGTCATATTTTCAGCTTTATAATTATATTCATACATAAATTTTCTTTTAATTGATCCGTAACCACTAGAGAGAGATACCATGCCCTCCAGAAGTGTTCTCTAGCCATTGTGCTTGGGACAAGTCCGCTTGCATGTTCTTATATTAATTTTTGTGGATCAGTGGATGTATGCCGGAAAGGATGATCTTGGTGACAATTTCTTATGGCTTGGTTAATAACTTTATAGTCATTTTGTGGATCGGAGGTGGAGAAGGTTTGAAAAGATTTTGAGGTGCAGAGGGCAGTGGTTGTGGATAATTTACATATTATTTAAGAATGTCGTACAAAGTACCTTCTTTTATTTATTTTGTGTGTATGAGACATACTTTTAGAAACATGTTTTTGAAAGGAGGATGATGAAGATCGGGTATCTTCTTTCTACTAATCTGATAGGGATTTCACAATACTCTTCAATGGCGTGTCTAAGAAAGGAAAACAGTACAGATGATCCTTGACCTTGACAAGGATCTCCACCTAGAAACTTGAAAAAAACATTGCCTCAAGGAGCGTCTTGAAACATTCTTTGCTTCCTCAGTTCCTCTGAATTCATAATCCCAAGTCCTGGCATAGCACATATTTCCGAAATACTTTCACTAGTTCTTCAATGTGTTACTAAGAAGAAATTTAGACAAATTATCCTCTGCATTCTGTGGGTTGCACCAGTGGTAGTTAGAAGGCTAAAAAAAACCTCCCTCGAAACTGCCTGGAGAAGTAAGACAAAGCAAGAGTGACTCTTTGTCCCAGTTACTCTTCATTCTTAATCCTTAAACAAACACTTTATGGCTGGGAGATAAGGGTATGTCTGGGATTCTTTTTGTGAATGTGAGCGTGAGTATTACTCTTTCCATGGTATAGAACCAAAAGAAGAATTTCATCTTTTGAGGAACTTTTGAGTTTCCACAGGTTATTGAAAGAAATCACTTGATGAGCTGTCTTGGTGATGCTCAGAGTTTAATTGTAGTTACTACCTGCTAGATTAGCTTTAGTTAAGTTGGTTTAGTTTCTTTTAAACGATGTACTTTCATGGAAATTAATTCAGGAGAAATAGAGAATCAGTTCATAAGATTCTAGTCCCAACTCATGGTATGAAAGACATTCTGAAACTTTCGTTCTTAATTTACCAAATCTGCAATAGCAGCAAACCCTACATCTAGAGTTCTTGCTTCTTCTTCTACAACCCCTTCTGCGGCAACTCTTACTCCTGATGCTGCTATACTTATATTAGACTTGAGTATCAGTTTGTTAATTCTTTGGTTGAGTTAGTAGGTAGATTTAAGTCTAAGTTGCTTCACTGTTGTTGTATGGTGTATTATGGATGGAAATAGAATTGTGGAGAGGCATTGTTCGGTCACAAATTGGCACCGTTTGTCTAGTAGACTAGTCCTATTGGTGGGTGATGAATATTCGATTTGGGATTTATTCAAGTGGTTGCTAGTTGCCAGTCTATAAGCTCTTCACCTACTTTTATTATCAAACATCATAATATTTTTGTTCTCAAATACCAAAATTTTAGGCGGTAGTTTTAAATTGGAGAACATAAAAAAAAAAGAACATATAACTGTTATTGGTTGGTCTTTCTGTCAAAACAAGTTCAAATCCTAGTGCTTGTCTAAAATATATTATTTTCATGATTATTTTCTTTTCTTTTCTTTTTTTTTTTTTCAACTCAGTCCCTTGGAATGATTTTTAAGTCTAGATTTTGTGAAGTCAAACAATAGTTCTTGAGATTAATTGAGGTATAAGAAATAAAGTAGAACATAGGGTGGGTGGAGGATTTCTGGCTACAAAAGGAAGAGAATTATTGGAGGAGTTAGAGCAAGAAAGCAGGTTAGATATATTCTGATCCTTCTAGTAATGGCATTTGGGCATTCGTAGGGAAGCTAGTTTTTTCAGCGGTTCCGTTAATTGGATCAAAAGTTCAGTGGTTCTCCATAATGGTGGTAAGCAGTCTCACCTCTATTTCCTGCCCAATTCTTTAATGTACGAAGTACAAATGGAGTATGAACCGAGGTAGTCTTTGTTTGGGATCTGTGCTCAGAATTACGAATGCTTTAAGCTTTTGATAATATTGAACATTTTGATTTAAGTTTATTTGCCAGTTTACTCTTAGGTTGATGAAATGCATATTTTATGTAATGGATGGATCTACGATTCTGGCTATATATGTATTATTAGCTTTTGCCATATTTCTGTTTCACCACCATTCGATTTGTTGCGTCGAATACTAATTAGACTTTGAAACTGACTTCTCTGGACAGAGTGTAGCATTTGATAGATCAAGTGCGCCCAAGGATTGCAGGGTATCTGGGTGGTTTGAAGGGCATGGTGCTGATGCCTCAGCAAATGCTGATAAGATGTTCCATTTGGCCGAGTTTACTTACGACCTCGAGAAGAGCAATGCTCAGACCTTCAACGTGGTGGAGACAGCTGGCTCTGGTCTCGTCAACATGATCCGATTCGATTTCTCATCCAACCATGGGGGCCCGTCGCATACTTGCATCTATCGCTTGAGGGTTCACGGACACGAACCATATTCTGTTTCTATGATGGCAATGCAGTCATGATGGATGGGATGGCCAACTAGCCAGCCCGCTTGTATTGGTTACCAGTTTGTATTATCCTTGTAACTGTTAAATTCCCTGTTCTTATTCTTTATTTTAGAACAATAGCCCTTTACACTTAGAATCTTCTTTTGGTTAGTGGGCACAAATGTTGTTCTCTACTTTTAACTTCATCTTCTTTGTTTTTCCTTGGGCCATTGTAAACAGATGGAATTTCGGGTTATGAATTTTTTGACTGTGCAGGCAAGGCATGTCGATTCGTAAACTTCTCGGAGTCTTACACGAAGGTGAGCTCCTAATTCTAATTGCTCTCCCTCTTGTGACTCACTGGACGCCTTCTTAGATAGTTGTTGGGTGGGGTTTAAACTTTCAACTTCAAGACAGGTATACTTGATCCGAGCTATGCTTGTATTGGTGCACCTAGTTATTGTTAAGTTGTTTTTTGGGGGTGGATATTTTGGTTTTGTTACTTATTTGATGATGCTTAATAATTACTTAAAATGAAGGTTTAAAATGAATAAGATGTTGACTACTACTAGGCATATACACATTCATAATAAAATTCTCAACTTTTTGAAGAGTAGGAGCCAAAAAACTAGTTACTGATGAATAACCAACTTTTAAAAATACTAAATGCAAATTTGTTTCCAAATGAATGGGAATGGAGTTATGAAATGACGATGTGAAGTGACAAAGAGAGAATATCTTTCCTTTCGACTTAGAAAATATTTAGTACAAGTCGATGATGATGTTAACAAGATCAAGCAAGAGAATATCTTTCCTTTCGACTTTGAAAATATTTAGTATGAGTAGATGATGATGTTAACTATTATTATATTCACTAGGGTACAATTGCTCCTCCTTTATTTAGTACGAAATAGGTTTTTTAAAAACATAGCTCAACTAGTTAAAGTCAGAAGTTTGAATCTCAATCTCACATGTTGTTGAACTTAAAGAAAAAAAGTATCTTTAACGCTATGAGAGTTATGCTCAAAGCAGACAATGTCATACGTACCATTATAGAGATACTTAAGTATACCATAGTCCTTAACAATTCAGTTACGCATAAACAAAAAGATTCCCGTTTTAAAGTGATTTATCCGAGATCTAACACTTTTGTTATCAGTTTGAAGCATAACTTTAGGTTACATATTCCTAGAATTGGCATCGAAATGCCCCCAAAAGGGTGAAACAATCTTCTTCATATCATAAATATCATAAGCTCATTTATTTATTATACTGTTCCCAAACATTATGAACTGAAACATCATAGTTGAGGACCACATTCTTCTTTCTTTCTTTAAATACAATAACAAAAAAAAAAAAAAATCAAAATTTCTTGAGAAATGAAGCACAGCCTGTCCAATTTCAGAACCAAAAACTAAGTTCCCTCTGCATTATCACCTTTATTTAAGGGCCTCTCTTTCTCTCTCTTTCTCTCTCTAACTTGTGAAAGAGGCAAACATGAACCCAACATTTGGTTCCCCTCATGTTTGGGTCCTTAATTATTATATAATTAAAAAAAAATTGGTGGATCACTAAGATATTCTCCCTCTTTCACTTTAATTGTTCTCTCATTTCTAATTATAATAATAATAATTTCAAGTTGAACAAATTGGGTGGATGGGAAATGGCAGTGTTTAATTATGTTTCTCATCTGTTTTTTAATCCTTTATGTTGAAGAAGAATCAAATTTGTTTAGGGGAAAAAAGGTTAATTTGATTGTGTGTAATGGGGTTTGCCAACTTTCCACTTGGAAAAAGGACAAAAATTTTAACATTTTATTATCCTTAACTAGAGAATTTCAAGGTTATAAAAAAAAAAAAATGTGTGTGTGTCTTTTTTTTTTTCCTAAGACATTTTTGTTGGTTTGATCCTTTGTTTCTTGCCCATGTTCATAATTATTGAGGTTGTGTTTGACAACTAAGAGTTGTTTTTTTTTCTTCACTTCTTTATGGTACAAAAGAGGGTATGTGTTTAATGATGTTTCATGGGTTTTATGTTCTTCAAAACATTTTTAAGAATTAGTGTAGGGACTAGAAATAGAAAATGATTGCTTGGGTTGGAAGATTGTTTTTCAAACCAGCTTCGGTTAGTGTTTTGAGAATTATGATCGGGTGATCTATAAAAGTTTTAAAGTTATTGTATACCTGAGATCGAGAACAACTTTAATTGTTATTAAAAAATTAGATTATTTAAAAAAGATAAATAAAATCAAGCGTAAATATTGCATGACATAGTGCAATCAATAAATGAAAGTTAAAAAATTTGATGGCAAGGAATAGATTATGTAATTGTGATAAAATAGGATTTACTAATCTTTTTATATTAAAAAAAAAGTGAAAAAAATATATTTGTTTTATTTTCTTAAAATTATTGATCCCAACAAATCCCTAAATTTCTTCCTTCTTGTTAATATTAATAACTTTTTAAGGGTTCCTTATTAATATTAATAAATAAATAAACATACCCAAATATTTTTTAATAAAATATAGGCACAATGAATGGACAAATATCAAACTAACCTTAAAAACGTGACAAATTTTTTAAACTCCAAATGGATAATTATTAGTATTATTCTTATTAGCTAAAATGAACATAATTCAACAGTAATTGACATATATCTCCAATGAAAATGTTCAATTTTTCATCCCTCTCTAATTAAGAAGCACCGTATCGTACTAAAAAAAACTCGGTAAAAAACAAAAAAATAATAAATAAATAAATAAAATCCCAAGAGAAAGAATAATGATTGTCCAAAAAGAAAGATACAAATAAAGTTGCTGTTTTATTTATTTATTTTATTTTTTGTGTTTTCAAAATAGTGAAAAGGCAGCCACAAAAACTATTGCCTCTTAGCTTTATTCAATTGCTTCATGCACTTGTATAGTGCACATAAATTTTCTTCCATCTTTTTCCATTGTCTTGAAACTTGAATGAAAAATTAATATTAATAATAAGATTATTTTTTCTTAAAACAATTATTATTATTATTCTTCCTAAAACAAGAGAGAGTGTGTTTTTTAAATGCAAATCTTAGCTTTCATGTCCAACTTTTTGGACACTATTTGGTCACCATCATACAATTCTCCATGTGCATGCCATCAATTCCCAAATTCATTCATACTTCTTTCCTACCATTAATCTAAACTTTGATTCATACTTTTTTTTTTTTAAGTCATTGGCATCTCTAAATCTTTGCGGGGAATGGGCTTAAAGATTATGTTTATAACATGAGAAATACGCTTCGAATTTACGAAATGAATTGCTCTTTATCGTATTTGAGAATCACGTTTTTTGCTCGTCTCTTCTCATCTTAAATTTCCTTTTATTTTTATTATTTTATAGCTTCTATACAACTGACTGAAATTTGAGTTTCGTTTTTTAACATTTAGAAGGTTTATTTCAATCTCTAAATTAAAATAATAATAATAATAATATTACTATTATTTTAGAAGGTTTATTTCAATCTCTGAATAAAAATAATAATGGTAATAACTACTTTTTTTGGTTCTAGAACTTAGAAAATGAACCCCTTTGGTCGTTATTTTTCCACTTAATATGTGTCTCACTCAATACTTGTTTTAATTTATTATTCTTATTATTGTTTATTTATTTTTTAGTTCATTAATAGTGTGTCAATTGGAGCATAGCTAATAAGGTATATATTCAGACTAAATATCGTAGGTTTAATGTTACTTTACACAAAGCTACCATTTTCATTTACTAAATCAAAATAACACTAGGAATCACTAAACTGACTTTTTTAAAAATTCAAAAAATAAATGGTTATGGTGAAAATTTGTGAATCAAAATAAATTTCAATTATTAAAAATGTACATTTTAAAAGTTTATAATAAATACAATCATCTTCTTAAATTTGAGACAGAAAAATGAAGTTGAAAGTTTTGAGTTCAACAAATACAAGATAAGAGATCCAACAGTAGAAATTG